GGAGGAGGGAGGAGGGAGGAGGGAGGAGGGAGGAGGGAGGGAGGGTCGGCAGCGGTTGTTACAGGACGGGAGATGGAGGTGGCGCTGGACTAACTTTGATGAGAGGCATGGCGACAAGGTGTGGGAGGAAGCTCCTCACGTTTCACTTGCGAGCTACTTGGAGGCGATTCGTGAGCGTCTGAAGCAGCTGAGACGAGGGAGGCGAAGAGGAGAAGGAAGTTGGCAAGGAAGAAGAGAGGTCGTGTTCCTCTCAACGGACTCAACTAAGGTCAAACCCTCCGCTGCTCTGCCTCTTCTCTTGTCCTTCTTCGTTCCTTCCGGAGCACCTGCTGACCAGCCTCAGGTGGTGCAGGAGATGAGGAGGATGGCGCCGGAGCTCGATCTGCGAGTCTTCTCGGAGAAGAGAAACCAGGGCGTCGCCTTCTCTCTCCTCGTCCACACCCATGCGATCAACGTCACCCGCTATGCCCTGGATGCTCTCGCTAATCTGCATACCCTTGCGGTAAAGGAGGAGGAGGAGGAGGAGGAGGAGGAGGAGGAGGAGGGAGTTATGTCCTTACCATGCGCTAGGACTCCACTGCCCTCGTCGCCACCTTCTCCTCCAATTTTGGACGCGCGGCACTGGAGCTGCAGTTGTCTCGCTACTTTGAGGCCCTGCGGGTCTGTGAGGAGAAGGAGGGCGGGCACGAGCCCGACGAAGTTGTGCGATGCGCAGGGCCGCACAGGAAGTCGCCTCCTCTGTCGCTTGACTTCACGTGCGGAGCCTCTTCCTCCTCTTTCACTTCGTTTATTTGTCGGAGCAGGTGGTACGCGGACCCATAGGCGAGCAGGGAGAAGAGACGGAGAGTGAACTTCTAGCTGTCGGGGGGGGTGGAGGGGAAGGGGGAGAAGGAGGAGACAGTGGAGGAGATGGCTGCAATGAGACCTACTCGTCCTGTGAGACGTATCTGTTTCGCCCGTCAGATTCTCAAGCATGTGCAACAGCAAGCCTTCTCACTGAGCGAGCATCTGACGTTTCTTCGCCGCAAGAGCCGCTCGCTCCAGCTCCTCCCTGCTTGGTACCGCGACATGGGCGACGAACGAGTCGCTCTTGTCCTGCGGCTCGTCTGTTCCAGCAAGTCACATCTGGAAATCTCGCGGGCTCTTCCACCTTCGTCGTCGTCGTCTTTCTGCACGCCTCCCTTCTCCTGCCTCTCCGTCCACTCCAGCACCTGCTCCCTGCGGTCAACCATCTGTGATGCAGGACAAGAGACATTACCGCTTGCGCGACGGCTTCCTGCTCAGCAGCATTCTCAAGCGGGAGCAAGATTGTGTCGTCCTCATCGCGATAGCCGAAGTAGGAGGCATCTGCAAGCCTCATGAGGGAGCAGGAAGAAAGCGGGTCAGGCGGTACCAGCACACTTGTACATGTCAGTGCGACTAGCAGGCGAGTGAGTGAAGGAACAACGGGATGAGGTCATGACCGAACCTTCTCTTGGCGGCTGGAGTTTCATGATCGCTCTTGAACAGCTCGCGAACACCAGGAAGATCCTTAGCGGCTCCGAAGTACTTGTAGCCCTTCGTGCCGGGTACCTTGTCGCAAGTCAGTCGCTTCTCTCTCCTCGTCCCCTTGAACTCACCTCCTTGCCATCTGCGTCCAGCACACTCGAAGATTTCTAGCAAGTCGCATACAGTGAGCATGGACCGAGTGGGGAAGGGGCAACCAAGGAGGGGAAGAGAAGAGGGAAGAGCAACCGAGGAGATGGGGGAGAAGGAGGGGAGGAGGGAGGAGAGGAGAGAGGGGAGGAGGGAGGAGGGAGGAGGGAGGAGGGAGGAGGGAGGAGGGAGGAGGGAGGAAGTTAACGAGATAACAAGGAAGAAGTGGTGAGGGAGCACCAAGTAGTTTGGGCCTCCGAGCTCAATGATGCGACGCTCCCAATTCGTTTTTTCTCGGCAGAGTCGGTTGATCTGATCGTTGAGGTCGCGTATCTTGAACTCTCCGAGCCCAGGGTTCTGAATCTCCGCGACCTGCCGGGATATGACGGGGGGAAGCGAGGCAGAGACAAGTGCAGGAGAACCTTCTTAGTGATGACTCCCACTATCTGCCTCCTCCACTTCTCTGCCTCTGGCAGGGATTCGACCATAGTGGCGGAGTATGGCCTTCTCTCCTTCTTCTTGTTGTCTTCCCCGGACTAGATGGAAGAATAAGAGAGCACAAGGGGTTAACTCCAGCATGCAAGGCTTCAGATATGTGCGTGCGACGGCAAGGGTAGGGGACCAGCTGCGACCCGCCAGCAGCAAAAACACGAAAATGTTGAAAGCGAGAACGCAAAAGTACGAGCAAGGAGTTGTGGAGAGGAGAAGGAATACCAATCCGATATGAGAGAAGAAGAAGTTCACGGACACGGAAGCGAGTACCACAGAGAGGTAGGTAGAAGGAAGAGGGCATATGAACAACGATGAGGACACAAATCAGGAGGACAAGGGAGGGGCGGCAAGGAGAGGAGGTGGAGTAGGGAGCAAGGAGGTAGAGGTATCAGGTGCCTCAAGCCATCTTCTTCTCACCTGCACCCGCAGCCATCGGTTCAACATCGACATCGCCTTCTCCTCGTTACGCGCCATTGCTCGCGCTCCTTCTGGCAGTTACAGAAATCGTTACGAATAAATCCTTGGAACCGTTGAGAAACCGTTTCATTGCGAAACCCTGCCCATTTCTATTTCACATTTTCCATGCTGTGATGAGGCGGCGAGCAAGAACTAGGGACGTGGAGGAGGAGGAGGAGGAGGAGGAGAGAGGAGGAGGAGAAGTAGACGAATACGTGACATGTCAAGAGACGGCTGCGGAGAGAAGAGCAGCGATCGGGGATCACAACCAAGAGCACAACCGAGGGGAGCCATCGGAACGCTCGGCTGACCGAGCTGGGAGCGAAGGAGGAGGAACGAGGGACTTCAGAGCCTTGATGCTCGACGAGCAGATAGTGAAGGGGCTGGAAGAGGCCGGCTATATCCGTCCATCCCCTGTGCAGCTTCGAGCCATTCCACTTGGAAACGTAAGGCAGCATGACCTGCGTTTCTGTGCATTTACGATGATTTCAGATGGGGTTGGATCTGATCGTTCAGGCAAAGTCAGGCACAGGCAAGACCTGCGTGTTTGCCGTCATCATCCTCCAGTCCCTCTCATTGAACTTCAACGGCGTTCAAGCGCTTGTGCTTTCGCACACGCGAGAGTTGGCTTACCAAACGCGAGACGTGATCCGCTCAGTGGCTCGATTCATGTCAGGTCCGAAGAGCGAGAAGAGGGACAAGCAAGACAGGCGGAGCAAAGCAAGAGGAAGAGGGAGGGGGGAAATGCAGGGAGAGGGAAGAGGTGGGAGGGGAGGGGAGGGAGGAGGGGGATGGAAGCTGGGCGCGTGGTGGTGGTGGGGGAGGGGACTGGGGGGAGGTTAGCGATGGGTGTAGATTTTAGGGTTGAGGGTGAAACATGTTGTGACATGCATGAAAGGAATTCGTTGCGAAGCTTTTGTGGGAGGACTACCAACTGAGAAAGACATTGAAAAGCTTAAGAGCGCTGAGAGCTGTCAGATAGTGGCAGGTAAGATGATGATGATGATGATGATGATGATGATGATGATGAGGAGGAGGAGGAGGAGGAGGAGGAGGGAAGGGGGGTTGGGTGGGTGGGTGCAGTGAGTAGGAGCTAAGACGTGTTTCAGGTACCCCAGGTCGACTGCGAGCACTGGTAGAGGCGAAGCATCTTGACTTGTCTGCTCTGCGTCAGCTGGTGAGGGAGGAGCGACGAGCTCGTAGACGAACGTGAATGAGTCGAGCAGGTGCTGGACGAGGTCGACGTCCTGCTGGAGGAGGAAGGGCTGCGACCTCAAGTTGAATTCTTCTTCAAAGTTTCTCCTCCTCGCAAACAGGTGTTCGACTGTCCCTCGTCCTCGTCCTCGTCCTCCTCATGATCCTTTCAGATCCTCGCTGTCAGCGCTACATTCACGGATGAGCTGCTCGCATACCTACATGCGCGTCTGTCTAATCCCCAGGTGGTGGAGGGAGCCAATGAGGCGAGAGGAAGAGGGGGAAGCAGAGACAAGAGGGGGAGGAGAGAGGAGGGGGATGGAGAGCAGGAGAGAGGGGAAGGGAGGGGGAGGGGCAGGAAGAGGGAGATGGAGAGAGGAGGGGAAAGCAGAGAGGAGCGAGGAGGAGGAATAAGCGTGAGTATTGCTGGTCAGGTCGTCAACGTGATTCGAGCCAACGTGGCGCTCAAGGGGGTCAAGCAGTTCGTCGAGTTTGTCGAGTCTCCTCGTGATGTGAGCGACGTGAACGCGAAGATGGAGAGGAGGATGATGGGGCTCGTGCGAGTACTTGAAAGCACTTCCTTCCATCAGTGTATCGTGTTCACGAATAGCAGGTGAGCTCTCACCCGTTCACATCCTCCTCATTCCTCCTGCTTCTTCTTCTTCTTCTTCGTTGCCATCGTAGCTCCTGCCTCCTGCTCTCCTCTCCTCACGTGTCTCTGCAGGACTCTTGGTCAGCGCGTCTGCCTGGTACTTGGCTCTCCTCCTCTCCTCCTCTCCTCCTTGACTTCCTGCAGCTTCTTGAGCGTCTTGGCTTCCCGTCATCCTTCACCTGCGGCGATCTCCCGCAGCCCGAGCGTCTCCGAGGTTATCGCCCTCCTCCTCGCCCTCCTCCTCGCCCTCCTCCTCGCCCTCCTCTTTGCCCTCCTCCTCGCCCTCCTCTTTGCCCTCCTTCTGCGGCTGCTCGTTCTTCTTCTCTGCCTCCTTCACTGCCAAATTCTGACGAGCTCCCAGCCCTCGAAAAGCTGCGTAACTTCGAGATCAGAGTATGAAGAGAGAGGGAGGGAGAGAGAGAGAGGGAGAGGAGACAAGGTGAGACAGCATGAGAGCTGTCGCAGGTGCTTGTTTCCTCCGACGTCTCCTCGCGAGGGATTGATGTCGACCGGATTAACATGGTGGTCAACTTGGAGCTGCCCTCCTCCCACGAGACTTACCTGCACCGGTTGCTGGAGGACGAGGAGGAGGGCGGGGCTGAGGGAGCCGCAGGATAGGGAGGACGGGAAGGTTCGGCACGTATGGGGTAGCGGTGACCATCACAGTTGGAGAGGAAGAGAAACAGCGGCTGGAGGTGATCCCGACGAGCCTCCTCCTCCTCCTCCTCCTCCTGCTCCTGCTCCTGCTCCTGCTCCTGCCCCTGCCCCTGCCCCTGCTGCTGCCGCTGCCTCTCCTTCTGCTACCACCCTGCTGCTCCTGCTCCCCCTCGTAGCTTGAAACAATCGAACCTGAAGTATCCGTAGACGATGAGCAAGTCGCTGAACATCACCATAGAGCCGAAGCCTGACGTGATTCCAGCGGTACATCTCACCAGATCTCATGCATCCCCTCCCCTCTCCTGCTCCTGTTGACTGACGAAATCTCAGGAATTTTATGATTTTGAAATCGTCGATGACGAAGAGGTTCAGCTGCTGCTGCTGCTGCTGCTGCTGCTGCTGCTCCTCCTCCTCCTCCTCCTCCTCCTCCTCCTCATACTTGTGCTCATTGTTGTGCTACAGAAGCAAAAGTTGGACCTCATGAATGCGAAGCGAGCAGAGCAGGTGACGCTGCTGCTCCTATCCCTCCCTCTACTTCCCTCTCCCACGGCGCCTCCTCTCCTTGGCGATCTTGTTGACTTTCTTGTTGACTTTCTTGTTGACTTTCTTATGACTTTCTTATTGACTTTCTTATTGACTTTCTTATGACTTTCTTGTTGACTTTCTTATGACTTTCTTATGACTTTCTTGTTGACTTTCTTATGACTTTCTTATTGACTTTCTTGTTGACTTTCTCACAGGCGCACAAGAAGAACATCCTCAAGGAGCTGCAGGAAATCTCACGCGCTGACAGGAAGAAGTCCAGGGGTCTGTCCCCCTAATGCTGCTGCTGCTGCTGCTGCTGCTGCTCCTCCTCCTCCTCCTCCTCCTCCTCCCGCTGCTGCTGCAGCTGCAGCTGCTGCAGCTGCTGCTGCTGCTGCTGCTGCTCATCCTCCTCCCGCTGCTGCTGCTGGTGCTTTTGTGCTGCTGCTGCTGATTTTCTTGGATCTTTCACAGAGGCAGGGCGAGGAATTTCTGTCGCCTCCCCCTTCGATCAGGTTGCTTGTTCCTGCCTCTTCTCGCCTGATGGAGTAGCAGGGAAGAGACCTCGGGAGCCTCTTGCCTGGCACGCCAGTGCTCGTGAGGTGAGGAAGGAGGAGAGGAGAGGAGGAGAGGAGAGGAGGAGAGGAGGAGAGGCTCGAAACATCTGAGGGAGGCGCAGGCAACAGGGGGTGTCGGTCAGAGGTGTGATAGCACAGGAGGGATCGACAGCTGGCGAGTTTTTCGTTCATCTCGTGAAAGACGGGAAGCAGCAGGTGATTTCAGTAGACGTTTGCGACATCTGCCGATAAAAGAGCGAGGGATAGGAGGAAACGAAGTGAGGAGGAGGAGGAGGAAGAGGAGGGAGGGGCGACTGCAAGTGAACGCACTAGGCAGCTATGAGCATGCAGAGCTTCTCTAGCCATCTCCTCTGCCACTCCCCGTCCTGCACGCGAGGTCAGCCCGTCAACCTGTCGCGCCTTCTGAACCTCCGTCATGTCGATGTGATCCCGATGGCACACGCGGACGCTCGTCCAGCCTCCTCCCTGCAGCCTCCGACCTGCCGTCCACATGAGCAGCACCACACTTGATCCTCCCTCCCTCCCTCCCTCCCTCCCTCCCTCTGCTGCTCCCTCCTCCTCCCTCCTCCTTCCAAGCTCCTCCTGCTTCCTCTTGCCTGCGCCCTCCAGCTTGCAGATGCACGAGTAGGTGGCAACCACAGGTTCTGTTCGCGGAGGAAGCTGACCAGCCACGGCAACGAGCCCGTCGTTGGCCTCCTCCTCCTCCTCTGCTGCTGTACAGATGGAGCAAGACGACCTGGCGGAGCAGCAGGCGTTGCAGGCAACGGAGCCCGTCCTCAAGGTCCCTGTCTTGTCCTCCTCCTGCTCCTCCTCTCCCCCCCCGACCGACTTCACGTGCACTTTCTCGTGCTTGGCGCGGCGAGTAGCTTCGCTGGAGCAGGAGGAGATGCGCCTGACGAAGGCGAGGAAGCTGACGAAGAGGCTGAGAGGGAGGAGAAAGAGAGCGAAGGGGAGGTGGCGCAAGAGCTTCACCTGCTGCCTCTCTCATCCACTCCTTCACCCACAACTTCATCTCACCGTTGGCAGCTGCAGTCTCCCCAACATCCTCCACTGCTGCGTGGAGGAGGAGAAGCACGCGAGGTACCTGGTCTCACTGCAGGGAAGGACTGCCTTCATCTTATCGTTCAGCTCGCGCATCCTCTGTGGGCTGAGGTCCCTCCCTCCGTTGTCTTGCCCTCCCGGACGCCACCTGCCTGCAAGGTCAGCTCTGCTTCCCCATCCTCCCACTCTCACAGGAAGAGGAGCCGTAGCAGGGACACTCCCTGCTCCCTGCGCACATTCCAATGGCGCAGGCGCAGTCCGAGGCACTGGAAGGAGGGGTAAGGAGGAGAACGAACAAGAGAGGGGACGAAAGGGAGGAACCAGCAAGGGGCGGGGAAGCAAGTGGTGGCGGAGGAAGAAGGAGAAGGAGAAGGAGGGAAATGAGAGGAGGGGCAGGCAGAGGGAATGAGAGTGGAGGAGGAACGGAAGTAGGTGGTGATGGAGGAGGAGGTAGAGGTAATGGGGGAGGTAGAGGAGAAGGAGGAGGAGGTAGAGGAGAAGGAGGAGGAGGTACAGGTCTGGGGGGAACCTCGTTCTCTGGGTCGTGATCGCACCAGACGAGGAAGTAGATGAGGGAGAAGATCCACCAGAGAATGCTTGCAGGAAGAGGGCGAAGAGAGGAGGGCGACAACCCCACGGCAAACACAGCAGACGTTCCGTTGTTCACCCCGTTGAGCGTGCAGATGCTTCGTATCCACCGCCCTGAGGTGACATGCCGTCCTCCTCGCCCGTCCGTCAGTTCGGATCGCGCGAGGAGGTACTGCAGGTATCGTGCTGTCGGGGCTCCAAGACTGTAGGCAAGGATGTGGATGGGACGCTCCTCACTCCATTCAGGATACAAGCCAGCCATGTCTCGCCCCCCGTACCTTCCATGCCCCTCCTCTAGCGCGTATCCTCCAGCATTGTAGTCGACCCTACCACCTTTGAGAGCGTAGAAGCATTCTACAGCTCGATCATGCACGCTTGAGACATGACCACACTTGACGGACAGGAAGCGACACCCCCCAAGCTTGCTTCTCAAGTACCGCCTCACGTCTCTTGAGATCCCTCCTCCGAACAGGCCGTCTAGAATCACGAACACAGCCTGAGCTTCTCTCGTCCGTTCTTTGATCATCCAGGATTCACGTGTATCACCTGTGATGGGTGACATGTGCAACTCAGCTGCTCATCTTCCTCCTCCTCCTCCTCCTCCTCCTCCTCCTGCCATGTTTCCCCGACGACTGTAACCGTGTGATGATGGCGTACCAGTAACATAGTAGTTTGTACCAGAGTTTGTACTGAAATCAAAATGAGTGATATTTAAAATAAGCCCTTCTTAAAATACGGTAGGTCCAACTAGCGACTGGCCCAGTTCATCCTCCTCGTCCTCCTCGTCCTCGTCCTCCTCGTCCTCGTCCTCCTCGTCCTCGTCCTCCTCGTCCTCGTCCTCCTCGTCCTCGTCCTCCTCGTCCTCGTCCTCCTCGTCCTCGTCCTCCTCGTCCTCGTCCTCCTCGTCCTCCTCGTCCTCGTCCTCCTCGTCCTCGTCCTCCTCGTCCTCGTCCTCCTCGTCCTCGTCGTCCTCCTCGTCCTCCTCCTCATCATTCATCGTCCTCGTCCTCGTCCTCCTCGTCCTCGTCCTCCTCGTCCTCGTCCTCGTCCTCCTCGTCCTCCTCCTCGTCCTCGTCCTCCTCGTCCTCGTCCTCCTCGTCCTCGTCCTCCTCGTCCTCGTCCTCCTCGTCCTCGTCCTCCTCGTCCTCGTCCTCCTCGTCCTCGTCCTCCTCGTCCTCCTCCTCGTCCTCGTCCTCCTCGTCCTCGTCGTCCTCCTCCTCCTCCTCCTCGTCGTCCTCCTCGTCCTCCTCCTCATCATTCATCGTCCTCGTCCTCGTCCTCCTCCTCATCATTCATCGTCCTCCTCCTCCTCCTCATCGTCCTCCTCATCGTCCTCCTCATCGTCCGCCTCATCGTCCTCCTCATCGTCCTCGTTCTCCTGGTTTCTATTCCTTCTCGCCGTTCTCGTCATCCTCCAACTAAACCTTCCTCCTCCTCTTCCTCTTCCTCGTCCTTGTCATCCTTCTTTGTGTTCTTTGCCCTTTGCCTGATGTTGATCCATCCTGAGGTAGATAAGGTAGGGGTGGTAGAGTAGAAGGAGGAGGAAGAGGGGTAGGAGGACATCAGCTGCTCCGAAGAAGAAGTCACACTAGCGTGCTTGGTATCGACTACCAACTGACCGCCTGCATTCAGGCATGATCTTGGAGAGCCATGAGGACACATCGGACTTGAGGAGGGAGGTACAAGAGAACAGATCTTTCATCGTTCGCATCTTGCAGGCTGTGGAGAAAGCGTCGTCGGACTGCCAATCTCAAACGAGCAATGTGATGAAGCGAGTTGACGGGCTTGAGTCTCGTCTCGAGTCTCTGGAGCATGGGCTCAAGCTGCAGTCCGAACACACGCGCAGCCTCCTCATCGCCTTGGAGGCTCAGGGGGAGACAGTGAGGGACCTGCGAGAGCAGTTGTACTCCGTGCAGGTGAGACTGGAAGACTGCGCCAAAGACCACAAGAGCTTGAGCAGACTCGAAAGCACCTTGGAAAGCCTCTCCTCTAGGATGGAGCGAAGAGTTGACAACGCCTTGACCAAGCTCGAAGAGCAAGAGATCCGTCTGGAGCGGCACCTGGGCGACTCATCACTGCAAGCGGCCAAGCTAAAGCAGGAGGTGGACAAGGAGCTGGACGCTCAGAGGAGCGCGCAGGACCACGAGAAGGAGAGGCTGAGCAGCAAGCTCGCCACTGCCCTTGAAGGATTTCGCGTTGCAAATCAGGAGGTGTCAAAGACCCTGGAGCAGCAGGAATCAAGGCTCTCTGCCGTAGAGAGAAAAGTTGAGAGCGTCGGCTCTCTCGTCAACGAGCATGATGTGAAGCTGTCGGAGCAGCTCAAGGCCCTTTCACAGAGCGTTTATACCATGATGCAAGAGCAGAAATCCTCGTTTGACCTCCAACTTCGCAGCTACAAGGATGAGATCGATCCTCGGATGTCAAAGCTGGAGGGTCGGCTGCGATCTCTGTCTCCGGACGTGAGGGTAGAGCATTCGTCCAGGGCTGCTGAGCAGAAAGCTGAGATCCAGGCGAGAATATCGCGACTCGAGAAGGCCTGGCCTACTCTCCATCCTCGAGCCGCCGCTACGGTGGTGCCCAAGAGCTACGACGGGGCTCCTGGCACGCCCACGTTTGACCGCATGCACACTGCTTCCTACTTGGATGGGACAGACTTGGAGATTTCCCGCAGTGAGAACACTGAGATCGTGTCGCCTCCTCTCAACCACAGCGTGCTGCATTGAGCAGCGGAGGGCAGGAGCGCCTTGAACGAGCAGAGTGAAGCTTGCTAGTCTCGTAAGTTTATTCCCTTCTCATCAATCTACAAAACATACCGGGAATGTTCACTCATCATGCCCAACGTGCTCTATCACGAAAACCAGCGCACCGGCTGCCAGAGCCTCGTTCCCTTGGCGTCTATTGTACACTTGTATCATCAAGTCCCCATCACCATCCTGCAAGAACTGCTGCCAAGCTGATATGAGCGTCTTCTCCGCTCAGTGTGAAGATCAAGACGGTTGAGATAGCGAGGAGGCTGTAGAAGTATAGTTCCACCCCACTCGCTGCCTCCTGCAGCTCTTGCTGCTTCGACGGCGCCTCCTTGGCCACGCCAGCGGCGCTGGAAAACTGCAGCATCGTGTCAGTGCTGACGCAGAAGAGTCGTGAAATGTTCACCCGCAATGAAAGCTCCTCCGCCGCCTTGCCATGCTTGCCCTCCAGCCACTCCTTCCCGAATGGTCGGCCATCCGGTGCATTGATGCTCCTCACGTCCCCGAAAGCGAAGCTGCTCGTGCTTGTCAGCATGTGCCGAGCACGTGTACAGGAGCAAACAGAATCACCTTGAGCTCCTGGTAGAGTAGAGCTGAGTTCCTCTTGACAAGGCGAGCCTTGAGGACGCGTCGGTCGAAGTCTCCACCATGAAGTATGTCGGAATGAACGCTGACACCAATGTTTGATCTTGGAGCAATGAAAGCAAAGAAGCGAAAAAAACTAGGGTCTTGATCATTCTGATAGGTTTTCCCAAGTCTTTCCTATGATTTCACTGACAACCGCTGGCCTCCCGATGTTCAACCTGAGCTTTATCCGTGGTCAACTGCAATGAGAGTTACTACATTGCTTCCAGTACAACACAAGAGCATGCCGAGGGCAGTGAAGGACTGATATCTCTCCTACCTTGCTAGACTGATCTTATCTCTCCTACCTTGCTCTTCCTGCCGCCTCTCTTCCCTCCCCATCCCCCTTTCCTACTCCTCGTGCTCCTCCTTCCCCTCTAAGAGCATCTTGGTCTATCTGCCCAGATTCCGTTCTCATTTAAACTTGATCAAATAATTTGAATTTACAGAGTGTATTTCCTTTCATTATTTCGAAATGTTTTAGAAACGACTCTAAATTCTGCATATACCAAATCCTAGGACCCTTCCTAGGCTCTTCCGTATGAGATGGGGACCATTAAAAGTTTTATAGTTTTATTATATCATTTTGTCCGTAGACCCCCCCACTCCCACCCCTCTTCTTACCCCTCATTTTCATGCTCAAAGTACCCCTCCATTGCATATGTTTACCACACCTCGACTCCCTAACGCTCCCCTACCCCCCCTACGCTAGTCACGTGGGGCTCGAAAGTTTGTCTAAACCCACCCCCATCACCTAGCCCACTTCCACCCCTACCCCTAATTTCCCTTGAATTCCTCTATGGGCTTGAGTGTAAAATTGACCCCACCTCCACCCCCACCCCTCGATTGCGAGATGCGACCGCCGGTCGCCCCCAAAGGACATATAATATTTTCATGGAGCGCGGGGGTCAATCTCTATGACTTGGCATAATATGGATAAGGTGGGTACTTTTCTTTCTTCGTGTGGGTAGGGTTATGTACCCCACCAACCCGTGGATATGATCAACTTTGACGATTTTGTTAAAACTTTGTTTTATTAACTTCCCAAATAGATTCGAAATATGATATTACATTCGCAAAAATTTCTTTCTATATTTTCAAATTTTGCCGAAGAGTGTTTCACGTGTTTCAATTTTTGGAATGTCAGCAACGCGACTGTTGGGTGCGAAACGCGCGAGAAGTCGCAACGGGCGAAACTTGGAAACTTTCAAACTTTCGCATGGTACTTTTAAACTTCTCGATTAGGCGGAGAGAGGCGAAAGTTCGTTTGACCGTCGACATGTAACAAGTTCACTCAGAGCAAGTGGTGGAGCCAGTGGAGTTGGCGAAGAGACCGAGAGAGCAGTTGAAGCAGAGCTGGGGATCAGTCAGCGAGAGATCGTGATGCGAGAGCCAAGGGCAGAGGCGAAGCCTGAGGAGGGGAGGGAGAGGAGAACAAACCTCGAAGCCTGTCCCGTTGCTGTAGGTGTTGACCGCACAAGGCTCGCAGGACGTCTGCCTCCTCCGTCATGCCCAGCAGCTCCTGCAGGCTCGCTCACCTGCCCCTCGGAGCTCGCGAAGTAGCCGGCCATGCAGTCGAGGCAGAGGGTGGCGGAGTTGGCACCTAGAAGAATGGCATGAGCAGACAAGAAGGCGGAGGATCGTAGCTGATGTTGTGAAGAAGGAGCAGGAGAGTAGGAGCAGGAAGAGCAGGAGGAGCAGAAAGAGGAGGAGAAGCAGGAGAAAGCAAGAGGAGAAAGCAAACCTTCGATGGCAGATGCCTTGCCCTGACTACAAGCCAAACAAGTAGAAACATTCGATGCTGCGACAGTCTCGCTGCTCATGGTTGTCTTGAGACGCCATGGAGGGAGAGAGAGAGAGGGGTGGGAAGCAAGAGGAAGAAGAAGGGAGAGGAGAGGACACGGACAGGGGCAGTGGAGGAGCGAAGGAAAGCGTGAGACCTGTAAGTGCCAGCAGGGCATTGACTGCATGCCGTCTGACCCGCGAGCTCGGAGAACTTCCCGGAAGGACAGCTGAAGCAAGTTAGAAGGTGAGACAAGGTGAGGATATAGCAGGGGGCAGGGAAGGGACGAGGTGCCAGGTCAAGGGATGTAGGAACGAAGGGGAAAGAGGAAGGAATTTGAGGAGGGAGAAACAGCAGGGGATAATGTTCATGAGTCACGATGAGGGAGGGAGGGAGGGAGGGAGGGAGGGCCTTACCTAATGCACTTCTGCTGGGAACTATTTGCGTAACTTCCAGCCTCGCATGTGTGACAGCTGCTCGTCGAATCAACAACAATGCAATTGAGAAACAAGATGAACGAGAGAGCAGGACGAAGAGAGGAGGAGGAGGAGGGAGCATGAGCAGGAGCAGAGTAGAGGGGAGAGAGAGTGGGGAAGGGGTCTCGCCTTCCATGTGCACTGCCGTCATAGTCCGTCACGGTTCCCTCCGGGCACAAGGAGCAGGTGAAGTTCAGCTCGTCAAACCCTGTTGATTTTGGGCATCTGCGATGGGAAGTGAATGATGAGCAGAAGTAGCAGCAGCAGCAGCTCCAACCTCCAGGAACACTCGCTTACAAAGCTCGCGTTCTCTGGAAGCGTTTCGTTGCACCTGGAGCAAGATCACCTTTCACACCTGCTCTGCTCTGCCCTTCTGCTTCTCCTTCCTTGCCTCCTCCTCTTCCCCTTTACCTCTTGCACCCTGTCAGCAAGTTGCATTGATCATTGCCGATGACGCCAACCTGCAAGGAGAAGGAGCAGTCACAGAGGGAACCGAAGGAGAAGAAGCCAGGAGAAGTAGGGTGGAGCAACAGGAATGGAGGAGAGTACAAGAAGAAGGAGGAGACAAGAATGAGGAGATCTGCTCTTCCTTGTCATCTGCCGCGACTCCAACTTTCTCTCCGTCCTCGGACAAGCACAGAGCTCGAGCGTTGGAAGTTTGGATATGGAATACTGACTTGGCCTGTGGATGCAACGAGCCACCCCTGTTGGCAACAAAAGTGATGAAGAGGGAGAGGAAGGTACAGAGAGGAGACTGCGTGGAAGTAGTGGGATATGCATGAGTTGAAGGGTATGAGGAGGAGAAGGCGGGCGTCACATGAGGAGGAGGAGGAGGAGGAGGAGGAGGAGGAGGAGGAGGAGGAGGAGGAGGAGGAGGAGGAGGTGGTGGTGGTGGTGGTGGTGGAGGAGCAGGAGGTGCGGGGGGAGGGGAGATGGAGAGAGGAAGTGCCGCGGGGGTATCCAAGAGGCGGAGGGGAGGATACGTCACCTTCGAGGGATGTAGAGCAACTGGCTGCTGCTGGTGAGGGAGAAGAGACCGTCTCGACCGCTTGCATGCCGGATGGCAACGACGTCCCCGAGACCTGACAGGACCGAGGAGGCGGAGGAGGAGGCAGAGGAGAGGGGCATGACGAGGATCTCGAAGAAAGGGTCGGAGGAGAGGACCGCTAGCTCCTGCGCATGGCTGATTGAGATGCCGCGGGGATGATTGAAGTCGGAGCTGCGCTTATTGACGCCCCAGCGACAGCAGGATATGTTGAAGCAGTCGGAGCAGCAGCAGCCATCTGTGGTGGCGGTGCTGAGAGCGTCGAGGTACGGGGGGCAGTGGATACTGGCAGGAGAAGGGGAGGGAGCAGTAGAGTTGGGAAGGAGACGACATGCCAGCTCGAGATTGATCTTGAGCAGATGGTTCCAGTTCCTGTTGGTCACGTACGCCTCCTGGTTCCACATCGCCACATCCGCCATCATCTGGCGGCTCCACGTCGCGCACTGCTTGATCGTCGTGTCCTCCTCCAGCAGGCCGGGGTAGTTGGTCTTGTCCGCCTGCGACACCGGCCCGAACTCGATCCCCGACGCCGCCACCTCCTTGCTCAAGGTCGAGTCGTTGTGAAACGTCAGCTTCATCACTTGTCCGCTGTCAACGCACGTGTAGAGGATGCTCGAGGTCTGCGGGATCCTCTCCATGCCGGAGATGTCGCAGCCTGCTTCGATCACCTCGGTGAAGTTCCACCGCTTGACATGCGAACGGTTGTCGAAGCGGAAATGCAGGAGGTTCCTGTAGCCGGTGTTGGCGAAGACGATGTCCTCGGGTGACAAGAAGGCGCAGCCTGACGCTGAGCTGACCAGCCTCCTCTCATCCTGCGTGTCTGCAAAGTTGATGCTTCCCAGGAGGCTCCAGGAGTCCTGGAATCCGACGCATGGCTCGTAGCCAGGCATGCACTTCATCTCGCTGTCAAAAGGAATGATGGGACTGCAAGCCACCTCTTGACTGCATCCCAGCAGCAAGACAAGAGTGAGAGGTAGAGGAGCTCTCATGATCGCGCGGAGGAGGGAAAGTTAGGTTGTCAAGATGGAAGGGAGGAACGATGACCGAGAAGAAGCAGCTATGCCACGGTTGAGTCAGCGACGAAGCTCTCCGAGTGTTCCTTCACGAGGCTGGTCCGGCATTGTTATCTCTACTCTTCTCCTGTCTCCTCTCTTCTCCTCCTCGTCCTCCTCTGGCATCTTCGCCCTACTCTCCTCCTAGTCCCTCGCCATGACGCGCCGACCGCCTCGGAGCAAAGGTCAAGTGCCGGGTCAACAACTTTAGAACTTTCAAACTTTATTTCAAAACTTTAAGTAGCCAGAACTTCGAGGCTGAGACTGTCAAACTTTGACACTTCTGCCATCTTTCCAAGTTTTTGATTAAAATTCTTAGTTTTTAGATAAAAATAGTTTTAAGTTTCAATGCGTCTGCCTGTTCGGTACCCCCGCCCCCTTATGTCCATTGGTTCCATGTGTACCCGTACCTCTGACCTCCTGGATCTGTGAAAATGGAGGTGGGGTAAGTTCGTATTGCTGGGTGGTACATAAAATGAAATTATAGAATTAAAGATTAGTATAAGAAATAGTTGTGACTAAATATAATGGTACTTTGAGACTTAAAAGTAATATAATAATTCTATTTGGGTAACTACTACCATCTCTTTCCATATTGTACCGCAGGGCTTGTCATTCACTACTGTATTTTTAAAATAAAAACTAAAAGACACGAAGAGACGCCTGCACCCCCTACCAGGCATTAGCCCCCCACTTTCTCCAGTACCCCTATCTTTCCCAGTTCTTCTACCCCATCTCAATCTGTCTCTACCCCCTACCCCCTGATCACTCTGTGTACTTCGAAAAGGGTTCCGAGGGAACCGAAATGGTTGGCGTGAGTAGTCGGGTAATCGAGTGCTGGGGGTAGTGCAATTAGGGAACACCAAGGGGGGTGGCCTTCGGATATTAGTGTCTCACTTATAAAAATGAGTTGCTATGGGTATAGGTCAAGATCAAAATGAAAGGGAAGATCATAGAAGGGGAGTACCTCTACAAGGATAATAAAAGAATAATACTTGTGTGACGAGCAAGATGGGTGGGGGTCAGATGTGGCAGGAAGAGATAGGGGTAGGTCTTTGATACTTTCGAGGAATGGGGGTGGGGGTGTGAGGAGTAGGGGTCTGAGACAGAGATATTGGTATGTGAACAAAGGAAGGTAAAGTTGACTAGTAAGGTGGGTGGACGGTATTTGATGGTGAAATGATGGTGGGGGGGTAGGGGTAGGGGACGGATTGCTAATCTAGGTGGGTTGGAGGTATCTGCAAACTCGGTAAAAGCACTGGTGGGTGCTTGCAAAAGTATGAATATACCCGTACTTTGAGACTCAAAAGTAGGGGTACTACAAGGGTGGAGCAGAAAATGTAACACTCAGTAAAACGGGTGGGGTAGGGGAATGTGAAGAACGGGGAAGGGTCTTGCATGGCAGAACAAAGAGCAGGGAGGGGAAGAGGAAGAGAGGAGGAGGAGGCAGAAGAGCGCGGGGCAGGACGAGGAGAGATGGAGATGGAGAGGCGAGGTGGATGGAGAAGAGGAGTGTGCAGGAGCAGAGAAGAGTTGATTGGGCGAGGATCCATGATCCGCGAGCTTAGGAATCGTGGTAGACGCGAGACGCAGCAAGTGGATTGGCGAGATAAGGATGGAGACGAGTGGGCTTGAGGATTATCGAAACTTTTTTAGCATCTTCATGAAAGAGGAGTACTTGTTGAGTGTGGTTGGCGGGAAGGAGAGTGAATGATTTGTTGAGGACAATATCATGCGAGGGCAGGGGGGGTGTTACCTTGAGAACTTGTGGAGGTGAACTGAAATTATGGTCCAGGTCGTCCGGTGGCTGATAGTTAGTCTCTCAGCTTCATCAAGATGCCAAGGCTGGATGGTGGGTTTGTTGGAATGTCGAAAGCGGTGGCAATAGCTACGACTGTGCCTGGTGGAACCGGGGCAGTCGCGTCTGCGTTGATCCTGGACGAGATAGAGTATTATCGAGCTGGCATTGGGTGTGTGCTGGAGGACAACCCGGAAACAGGCGACATTCGCATAGGAAAGATCGTGCCGAAGGGAGCGGCATCGAACACAGGGCTGTGCGAGGGAGATGTGTTGGAGCAAGTGGACGAGCATCCGATCTACAAGGGCATGTGCCTGTCCGAAGCCTCTCACTTCATCCGCGGCAAGGAAGGAAGCATCGTACCTTGCGAGTTCGCCGCGGAGAAGCATATCGCGCGACCATCCGCATCGTGAGACAGCGAGTCCCCGGGAGCGAGACGGAGATGTTGGGAGCTCTGTGGCAGAAGAACCACCACAAGCCCAAAGAACCCAAAGTGGCGACCAAGGAGGACAAGCTGGAGAAGCTTGTGTCTCTGCGTAAGAGAGGGCTGATCAACGACGTGGAGTTCGAGCATGCGCGCCTGCGTCTGATGGAGGGCCGGGAAGGGGAGCTGCCGAAACAAAAGGCCAGTTTCTCGTACACCCATATGTTCCAGACGCTGCAGTCGGACTTCGAGAAGTTGTTCACTGATCCAGAAATCTTGAGGAGGAGGCAGATACAGCAGAACGCGCAGACGGGATCTGACTTGCTCCTGTGACCTCGTCCTGCTCGAGTTACCACCGTCGTCGATGTACTATAAACCTTCTCCTTCCTTTCCTCGGCAGGGAGCTGCTCGTGTGATGCAGAGAGAGGGGGCAAGGCAGGTGAGACGTGCCGTTGCCTTCCTGTAGCTTCAGATTACTGCGAGTGTTTCTACTCATCGTGATCGCTGCCATAGTTGATTTCTGATTGAACGTTTTCATTTTCTCGATCTCTTCCCTTCCTCTCTTCACATGAATTCTTCTCCCGTCGTCTTCACATAGTTGGCCGGTACCAGCCCCCGCCTCGCTCCCTGCTGCGCTAGAAACCAGCCCGGCTGAGCAATACCTGCTCGTCCGTCAACGCGTGTCCTGATAGAGGGGGGAGCTACCGAGGAGGAGGAGAAGCTGACCAGGGAGCAGAGAGAGCTCGTCATCCTGAGCTGCGGCATGTGAGCGTCTCAGGATGGTCTCGCATGTGACTCACAAGCATCGAAGCGATAGAGAGACACAGCTTCCATGGGCTGACCGAACATCTCGTCCACCTCCCATCCTGCTCCTCCTGCCCCTGCACCTGCCCCTGCCCCTGCTCCTGCTCCTGCTCCTGCTCCTGCTCCTGCTCCTGTTTCTCCCGCTGCTGTTGCTGCCGCCGCTTCTATTCCTACTCCTGCTGCTCCCTCCTTCGCCTCCTCTCTCCTTGTTGTGTCCTCGCGCTCTTCAGTCCACCCGTTCATGCCACCTGCTAGGAGGTCACGAGTCTCATCAAAAGATGAAAAGGCAAAGTTCCTCTAGATTGATCCCCCAGCTTCTCCTCCAGCGGCTCCCCCAGCTCAGCTGCAACGGTCAGCAGGCAGGAAAGGCAGCTGAGGGTCTCGAGGAGGCCTGGCTCCGATCCTCTCCTCTTGTCCAGCTCAAACTCCAGCAGACGGTCAGCTGACCCAGCATGTACGAGCAACCGAGACATGGAGCTCTGTGAAGTGAGCGTCAGGGCTGCTGGCAGAAGAGAAGAGCAGAGCAGAGCAGAGCAGAGCAGAGCAGAGCAGAGCAGAGCAGAGCAGAGCAGAGCAGAGCAGAGCAGGTCAATGAAGTTCAAACATGAGAAGTTTTACATGCAGAGGAACGAGAGTGATTCTGCTTCCCAATTCTTCTTTTCTCTCAACTGAGACACACAGAGATTAGAGGAGGGAGGAGGGAGGAGGGAGGAGGGAGGAGGGAGGAGGGAGGAGGGAGGAGGGAGGAGGGAGGAGGGAGGAGGGAGGAATTTAAGAAGAAACAAGGTGGCACCGGTAGGAAACTCTTTGAGAGAGATAAAGCGACATGATTGAGAGCACGCGACTTTCTTCAGCTCATCACAAAACTCCTGACATGAAATTCGTCTGCTCGCAAACTGAACGACAAGCTCTGAGCAATGACAGAAAGCGTCGGAGAGGCGGGACGAGGGCAGGAGGGAGCTGCTTTGAGGAGCAGCAGTTGTTGGCGTCGACTCTCTCCTCTCCTCTCCTCCTTCTGTCCCTTGCCTGCCCAACACCTGAGATTGAAGCTCACCCATCACGACAAGCAAGCTTTCGCTGTGTTCCCAGCACTTGCCCAGCAGGATTTCAGCTTGCCTTCTCCAGCTCTCGTCCCCAGTCTCCCGTCTGATGCGAATAGTCGAGAGTGTCTGCGAGAGTTGCGACTGCTGGAGTTTGCAGCTGACCGCCTCCCTCCTCTCACTCGTCAGCTTCCTCTGCAACACGGTGATCTGCTCGCTCTGTATCCTCACGCGAGCCTTCATCTCCCCCAGCTCCTCCTCCAGCTGGTGTTTGTCAGCCGTCAGCTTTCTGAGGTCCACCTTCAGCATCTCGAGCTTCTTCTTCATTGTCACGTTCATCACGTCGACTTGATCTTTCATCTCGTCTCGCTCCCTCGCTACCTCCACCATCTTCTTCTCATCTTCTCTCTTCTTCTGATTTTGTCCCTCCCGCGCGATTCCTTCTTGTCTCTTCCCCATCGCCTCCTCCACAGTTTTCACCTCCTCCAATTGCCCGGGAAGTTTTTCTGCCTCCACCTGCCCCTCGACCCATTGAGTCTCAGCGTCTCGCGTCCTCTTCCCCTGTCGGCTCATCGCCTGCTGCAGCTCGACGACGAACGTCTTCACGCTCCTGATCTCCTCCACCAGGATCCTCCCCCTCAGTCGCGCATGTCGCACTTTGATCGCATCTGCCTGCATTGCCGCCATTGCCCCAGCAGCGGGAGTTGTCTCCTCACTCCTCCTCTTCCTCTCCTCCTCCTCCTCCTCCTCCTCATGATCCAGCACCACGTCAACTACTTCTGCCTTGATGATCTTCCGCGCATGTCGCTGATTCGTAAGGAAGTTGCCAAGGTCACAGAACTTGAAGAGATCGACCACGAGGGCAAAAGAAGACCGACAGGAAGACGGTCGAGCAAAGACGACCAGCCGCAATGCATCTCCTCCTCCTCGTTCTCCTCCTCCTCGTTCTCCTCCTCCTCCTCCTCCTCCCTGCCATGAGAGTCTTCCTGTCTCAGCACCGAGCATGATGTAAAGCTCCTCCAGCAGCTCCTTGGCTTCCCTGCTGGTCAAGTTGCTCTTGAGTCGAATCTTGACGTGCAAGGAGACATGCTTGAGAAGAGGGGAGAAAGTTTCCATCCAGCCCCACCTGCTCTCCAGCAGAGAGGAGGAGAAGGAGGAGGAGGATAGGGAGGAAGAAGCAAGTAGTTCCTCGTACCCCTCCAGCCTCCTCATCATCGTCCTCTTATCCTCTCTCTCTCGGTCGATCATCCTCTTGTAGAGTTTGTTTTCCATCAGCGAACTCTCCAGCATCTTCTCGAGATTGTTCAAGCTGCTCTCAAGCTCGTTCATCTTCCTCCACTTCTGCCTGTCCTTCTCGCCCATCCCTGACACTTGCCCCTCCTCCTTCTCTTCCTCCCCCTTCTCCACTTTCTTTTCTACCTCGTCCACTTCCTCCTTCTCCTCCGCGCTCAGCAGCGACTGATCGATCCTCGTTCCATCTGAATTGCACTCAGAAAATCGTGCTATCACCTGATGAGGAACAACTGCAGCAGCAGGTCCAGGGATGCTGATGCCAGAGGGAGAACGAGGAGGAGGAAGAGAAGGAGGTGATGGTTCTAGTGGTGGTGGAGGAGGAGGGCAAGTATCACGAAGCATAGCAAGCGCCACGAGAGCAGCAAGCAGAAGCAGCAGGGGAGCAGCAGGAGATTGGGAGGAGGAGGGTTTCCTTCACCGTTCTCCTCCAGCCGCTTGAACGCTTCGAACTTGTCTGTGTACGCCTCTAGCAAGTACGACAGGCTGACCTCTAACTTCCTCGCGTCCTCAAGCGCGTTGACCACCTGCCGATAATGAGGAGGAACAAGGAAAAGTTCATCCTGCTCCACCTCTCCTTCCCGTCCTCGTCCTCCCCCTTCCTCCTGTCCCACTCCGTCCTCCTCGTCCTCCCCCTTCCTCCTTCCCACTCCGTTCTTCTCATCCTCCACCACTACTCCCCTCCTCCTCCTCCTCCTCCCCCTCCTCCTCCTCCTCTCTCTCGATTTCTCACATGCACATTCTTCCTGCATTTGTTAT